GCGCGCACACACATATGTATATATCATGTTGACAAAACACACACACACGCATGCACACACAGCAACAGACATAATTACTGACGAATAATAAATGATCTAATTACTGACGCAATGACTGACGTCATAACCGACGTAATAACTGACGTCATAACTGCGTCATCGTCGTCTGCGTCGTTGTAGGCGCGGGCTGGCCGTCGCCTGCCTCGGCGGACCGCTCTACGCCATCGGCGGCCTGGACGACCGCAGCTGCTTCGGCGCCGTGGAGAGATACGACCCGCAATCCGACACGTGGAGCTTTGTCGCCTCCATGAACATCCCGCGAGGGGGCGTCGGCGTCGCCGTACTCAAGGTGAGCGCCATGTTGCAATAAAATCTCCTGGTTAGCGGTAACAAGGTATAGGGATGAAGACATGTCTATAGAAGGATACGGAGTTGGCGTTTCCCGTGAGGAACGGGTTCTACAATAAAACATGTCTATAGAACACGGAGTGAATGATTTTTTATTGATTTATTAATGATATATCTACTATACAAACACAATATATATATATATATATAAATATAGTTATCCAATATACAATATCGTGTAATTCCTCGTTGCAAATGATTCGATGGAGCCGAGACTCTACGCCCCATGCACGTTATCCAGTGGCGAATAACGAGTCAGATATGACTACAACTGTGCTGTCAACTGTGCATAGCTAATTCTATCATTCCTGTACCTACTCCTGATGATATATATATATATATATATATAATGTATATTTATATCGCCTGCTCGTTGCTAGGGTCACCTGTACGCGTGCGGCGGTAACGACAACAGCGCCTCTCTCGACTCGTGCGAGCGTTACGACCCGCACCTAAACAAGTGGACATTGGTGGCGCGCATGAACCGACGCAGGGCCGGAGCTGGGGCGACGACGCTCAACGAACACATCTACGTGTTAGGTAACGCCTCTAGCACACACACACACACGCGCGCGCGCGCGGACATACACACACACACGTACACACGCGGATACGCGCACGCACATACACACACGCGCGCGGAGATACACACGCATACACGCGCGCACGCACACAC